AATAATCTAAAATTAAAAAAGAGATGATCAAAATTGCTACTATAAGCCTAAAAATTATAGGACGTTAAATGTGCTGCAAAATAATCTTGAATTTAAAAAAGAGAAGATCAAAAATTGCTACTATAGGCCTAAAAATTGAGCAAAAGATTTCATCAGGTGCTATAATATCTCGTAGTGTCCCTTTAAAGCACAGTGTTCTAAAGTATTGTAATCTACAAGCTGCATATTGTACACGCGTCAGTGCATTGCACTGATCGCTTGTGTCACTGCCATCTATTTGCTTTGTATACAATGTCAGTTGAAATTGTGTCCTATAATATTGAGATAAAAGCTGATTATGCACCATATGCTGTTTTGAACCTTGGCTCCCCAAAATTGCGTAAAATAATATAGCCCTCGACTTTGAGGCCTGTATGAGTATATTTTGAGGGTTTGTTGTATTCTTCTGAATGTCAAATTATCGCATAATTTTATGAGAACGAAAAAATGGCGACCTCAGCCTCCAAGACGGTGAATTGCCGTTTCGTCTACAAAATAGCGGTTTTTGCTTGCAGAACTACTCTTGCAGATGCCCCTTTTCAGCATCTGACCCAATACTAAAGCCATAGTAGTATTGTTTATAATACATCCATTTACTTATTATTGATATGTTATTATTGTAATTATGTTATGTCGTTGAGTTTTATTTTCAATTTTAAAAAAATACAATTAAAAAAAATATTTAAAAAAATATATATTTATGTATATTGTAATAAGGTATATTGTAGCTTCTCTTTATGAGATGAGTGTCAGCTTGACTGTTCAACATGATGCCGTTCACATGAATTTTTTGTTCTAAACTTAACATAGGGACATAAATTTGTGTTGACATCGGGATTTGCTGAGACAGAAGTCTGCGCCAAAAGGCCAGAGGGAAAGGGTGTTTAACGGTGCCCAGGGCAGGCAGAAGGCGGTATGACTCGATGAAATTTATTGTTTAACTTGATATTAGAAGTGACTTGTTTGTTTGGGTGACTATTTTTCCCACTCAAGTGGTGATGTTTTGATCATTAATTTTCAAGCCATCATACCGATTGGGATCTGGACGGTTGTGACAACATGAAATTAGGCTGTCGTCATTGCTCCGTGTAGGCCTTCATTGCATTTCATTGTCAAATTGGAATAACGATGTGGCACGACAAAGTCTTCTCAATCTCTCATTCATCTTGCAAGTTCCCCCCCCCACCCCCTCTCCTCTCTCTCCTCTCTCTTTCTCTCTCTCTCCTCAGGGGAGGATCCGGGGGTGCGGGGCGCAGGCCCTCCTTTTACCTTCAAAAAAAAAATCACCTTCCAAGAAAAAACCAAAGAAAAATATTCACATTAAAAAAAAAA